TTAAAGAGAATCGAGAAATATTAAATTATTATCTATATAAAAGAAAGATATATTTATTGCTGTCGATTTTTATTTTACTTTATACTTTCTATTCTTTTTTGTATTATTATCGATATTGGATCAGCAAATATCGACAATTAATGTATAGGAATATTTGTATATGCCAAGTTGTGCAACGAGAAAATATAGCAATTAATTATTTTGCGAGCGAAAATAATGAATAATAATTTGGAAATATAAAAGAATGAAGATTTTAAGCAAATATTATAATTGAAAGAGATAGAAACTGTGCTTAGTATTATCGAAAAAATATATACGTGGAGGAAAGAGGGAAATTTCGCGTGATATTAATTTGTGCGATGGATATATTATTGAATTATCAAATTTAGAATCGACTCTTCTCGCGAGCGTTTGAAAAAATAAAAATGTTACAGTTATCACAAGAATATCGCGATTTTCCACACGAGTGGGCCATGCACCTGCAAAAGTACTACGCAGTGCAATATAATATTCAAGCGAGCAATAAGCCATGAAATTTATACAGTCGGGCCTTAATACCGGGAGAATTTTCCTGGAGGTTTCAGTTCCCGGGCGCCAACCAAGGAAACACTAATTATTTCGCAATCTCGGCACTCACCCCATTTCGCAGATGGTGTTGCATTAAGAAAATTAATTTTTTACAGCCAGCCCCGTTAAAGGGGATGCTCCGCGTCGGCCCCAGCGAATTGATCCCGGAAGAAACGATAGCAATCGGAATTTAAACAGAATTTAACTGATTATGCCATTAAGAAATTAATAAATAAAAACGAAATCACACATACATGCATGCGAGCATTAAGAAAATTAATTTTCCTACGACTTCCAGCTTGTGTAAAAGCTGTTGCTTTCGCCCGATCTAATCTCAGACATAATGTTTTTCTGTCTATCTCTTAATGGCGTATCTTTTTTCCTATTTTTTTCTCCATCCTCAATATTGTCACGATTTTTTTAAAGAACCAGTTATATCATAATTGATTTATTTCTTTTCGCAATACGTGTCATAATTGAATCTATCGAGTAATGTCGTCGAGAGAACGATCTTTCCGCGTCGTTACGCAGAAAACGACGGATGAACACAATACGATCGAAGCCGGGAAGATCCCTATTCTTTGAACGATCCGCCCGTCGAGATACGTGCGGCGCGTTCTGGTAGGGTAAATTCGAAAGATACGGGAGAGGAGGACGAGTCCGCGGTTACGAATTTGTCAGGACTCGGTCGCGAGACGTGTCTATCGGTATCTCGGAGAGATATTATTCGCGATAGTGGAGCGAGAGATGTCCCGCCGGTCCGCGCGAAAATGGGTACTTGGACAGTTGGACAGTTCGTGGTCGCCCAGAAGACGAGCGTCGTCGTTGTCGTCGTCCAGATCTTCGTGAGATGTCGGGAACGCGCGAGAGAAGGCGAGTCTGTCGGTGGACAGAAGATGGGAGAAGAAGAGCGAGGGATGAGGATCGACGGCGGCGGTTGCTTCTCGTGAGTCACCCTATTCTTGTCACCCTGAGTTTCTTGGCGGCAGGATGACGTCTCTATCGAGTTACGGCTTTGTTTTTGGTCGACCGACTCTATCGGCACTTCGCAAGGGAGTCTGGGGACTTTCTTCCTCGATCTCCCATGTCCGCGTCTCTGGCGTCTCTCGCACAAGGACGGTCGGTTGATGCCTCGACTACGTATACAATATTATGTTGACAATTGTTCGAGTTGAATGATTTTGGAGAGACAAGATTATTTGATAAATGGTTGAATGAAAATGTTGAGATTTTTTTTTTGAAGTGGAAGAGAGTAATATATCTTTGATGTTCCATTTCTTAGATTTATCCTTGGCAATAATTTAGCTTTGTACAATTTGCGGGCGGGTCATTCCACAAGGCTATCCATCTCACGAACGAACATTCGATAGCGCTGAACATCTATGCTACACGATCACGCAACTTCGTGCCGCATCTGTAATTTACGCCGCACGTGCGTATATATATCGTGTTAGAAGTTCACGCCGATGAAACTATTATTATGGCTATTCTCCATCGGGCATAGAGAGAAATTCTTCCCTAGTTAAGCAGCGAGGGAAGTTGGAACTTGTAGTAACTAATAACGAGGAAGAAAGCTTTCTTTATCTACGTTGCAAAATCAAATTGCCACCCTACGCCTCCGTTCTCTTCCTCTTTTCCTTCTCTCTCTCTCTCTCTCTCTCTATCATTCTTTATCTTCCTCTTTCTCTTCCTCTCTCGCAAATTCTCACACCTTTCTACAGGCACTCATCGAGTCGAGTTTGTGAAAGCATTACGTTCGAGCACCCAACCGCTATTCAAACCCCACACCGAAGTTAAGAACTCGCTGATGAGGTAAATCAAACGTTCCCCGAGAAAACAATTCTTTCGGCATTCTAATGAGCTTTCATTTAAAAATTTCGCGTCCTGCGAGAATTTTGATCGGAAGCTTTGAGAGAAAATTCGCGAATATTAGATGAGAAACGGATAAAAATAACTTTGCATAAATAAAAAAAAGAAAAAGCCTATTCAGAAATACGAGTACATTTTGCGCAAGAATAAAATCTGAAATTAACGTTCGCTTTAAGTAGCAAAAACGTTTCTTTAAGTACACCATTCGAAATCGAGGAGTTTTCCATGCGCAACAATAGTTTGACCCACTTTTCCAAAAATAAATCTAAGGTTGTTAAGTTAACTTAAAGTTATTGCTGAAATTGAGTTTAGATTTGCCGTTCGCTTGAAAAGCGAGTTGAAAGCCACCGTTGCATTGACTATAATTAGTTTTAAGAATTTGTGTTACTTGTGTATACACATGTAATCCATTGTGCGAGGGATTTGAAGTTTCGGAAATTTGAGTCGGGATCTCGTATATATTGTATACATACAAAATACAAAATATATTAAAATTTACCGCATACGTATTTCGGAAACGTGTAATTTTGACATCACCGGAGAGCTTCTTCCCGCACCTTCTCTCATAACGCTATCAAGGGAAAAGCGCGCTTTGTTCCGCCCATGCAACCCGTCGAGGAGACCAAGTTTTGCAGTAAGAACATCCAGCGAGAATTGTCGTCACTTCCTCAGCAGTTTGCAAGTAGCTGGCAAACATCGGCGAGGATGCGTCGACTCGTGCATACTTTTGCGAGCATTTCTTTTCACTGCGTAGGAATCGTAAACGCTATACATTCACTGAATAATACGTCGGATGACGTCGTGCAGCAAGTTTAGATTTTTGTGAAAGAGTACACTGGAGAGAGAAAAGGTCAGGGTGGAAAATTTGTATAAATTTGTATAACGTGTAGAAATATGCAACAAGCTATGAGCAACAAGTAATGCGATTTTGCAGTAAATATTAAACGCTTGTAAAATGTAAACGAGTTGCATATTAATTGACTATTAATTTTACGAGGAAGCTTCCTCGTAAACAAAAGCAGCAAATTAACAAAGAATAATATTTATATAAAATGTAGGAAGTGCAATTAAATAAATATGTTTTGTTTTAATTAAGAATGTTCAACTGAATGCCGTCTTCTCTTAAAGGCTTACAGCTTATTGTATAAACATTTCCTAGAGCTGTCTGAGATATTTCAACTATTACATTTGAAAGAACTCTGTCTGATTGTGAGACATCTGAACTGTTACGCTTTAAATGTCCGGCAAAAGATGTCTATAGGAAAACTGCATTTCTCAGAACGCGCGAGAGAGTAGACTGACAAGTGACTCGGCTGATTCGAGTAAGGATGCAGGCAGACAGGTAAGGGAAGGAAGACCCGGGGAGTAACTTAAACAGCGGCTAAAACAAGAAGTAGCAAGTCATAATTGAGTCGGGCAAGTATGGCGGAGTCCATGTCGGTAGGTGGAAAGCACCGCTGCCGACATACCTGACCGGAATTCGCAACAGGAGGGGTAGTTCTCCGTCTCCAGGTCTCAAGATGGTTTCCGTTAGTTCGCCGTCCATCGAATGGAATCTAGATGTTTCCCGGCATATTAATGTTGCACGCGCAAATACACGAGCTTAACTTTGCGGCACAGGAGATAAGCATAATTGTGAACTTTGAACCATTTGAAACTTTAAGAAACGTGATTGTTAGAATTAAGAAGCGTTTTCACAGCAATTTTTATTATCGAGCTTTTTAACATCGTTTTTTATTATCATTTCAAAATTATCGTATATCGATTTTTCGATCAATTTTAAGATCGCGGTTTTTGATATTTTCATTGAAGATGCTATATCATTTATATATCTATTTATTATAATTTCTAAATTTCTCGTAATCAGGATTTTTTATCACATTTAAAAAATCTTCCTCTATTTCTATATTCAATTATTCAATAACTTAATTATCTTAATTCCACACGATTTTTTTATTATTTATTATAATCTAAATCTTGATCAGGATTTTTTAATCACATTTAAAAATCTTTCTCTATTTCTACGTTCAAGTATTCAATAATTAATTACCTAATTCCACGATTTTTTTATTTATACTACACTTCAGTTAGAGCTTTTATATCTATTTATTATAATTCTAAATTTCTTGTGATCAAGATTTTTTATCACATTTAAGAAATCTTTCTCTATTTCTACATTCAAGTATTCAATAATTTAGTTACCTAATTCCACGATTTTTTGATTTATATACTACACTTCAATTAGAAGCTTTTTATATCTATTTATTATAATTTTAAAATTTTTTGTAATCAGGATTTTTTATCACATTTAGAAATCTTTCTCTATTTCTACATTCAATTATTCAATAATTGAATTACCTAATTCCACGATTTTTTTATTCATACTACGCTGCGTTCGAAGGAAGATCCGCAAGTATCTTGAGCATTTCACGAGGTTCTCCCGCGAGAGCTTGCGGCTTGCGGTCAAAAGGACACGCTCCTGCCGTGGGACGTGAATTCACGTTCGACACGCTCGACAGGCGGCGCTCGTGTAGCGTGTAGCCTCGCGTGATTGCAAAAAAATATCCCGTGCTAGTTAATGCCGATGACATTGACGGACGGGAAGCAGCTAAGCTTTGACTTACAGCGGGACGATCGATGCGAGAATGTCGCAGGCTAATTTGCTGCAGAGCTGTAATTGTAAGTTAAATCATTCTTATTTATTTCGCCGATAAAGCCGCAAATAATGATCCGTGAGCGGAGAGCATCGCACGCGTCGTGTTGTGAAAAATGAGCTCTGATAATGGCGGCTTTCGTTTATTTAACGCGAGACAAAAAAGCTGAGATCCGAGGAGGGAGTCGGGATGGCATCGTGACACCTCGGAAGGATGTGTCCCGCACGATCATCCTATGCGTGTCTCGATCTATGAATATTCGGTGAATAAAGCTTTTTAACGCGTGCCGTGTGTCCCTGTACGTTTTTTGATTGTGCATATGTTAATTATGCAAAGATGACTTCTGGCTTTTCGGAGTCGTTGGTGCTATCGGCATATTTTTTACAGTACGCTTTTTTAATATATTGTAACCCGTCCTACTATTTATCATTCGCATACGTGCATGGCTTGATAATTTCGAGGAAAGAAAAATATATATATAATATCTCTCTTTCATTTATATATATCTTAATTATTCATCTGTATATTATATATTTATATATTATCGTATTGTTTTATTTCAGTGTAATTTACTTTAACATGAAAGATATATTCTTAGATTTATCTCAAAGTAATTATATTTCGAGAGATCCATTTAAATATCTCTATTAATTAAATAATCAAAACCAATATAAAATAAAGTAAGACCTAATATAATGTATTATATATAAATCCAATCCATTTTCCATTTATATTATAAGCCAACATAATCCTAAAATTTCCTCTTTATCAAATATAAAATCTATTGAATTATACATTTTCTTTAATGTACTAAAATCATATTTTTTTTTTTTTTTTTGTATTTCGGAGTAATTTACTTTAACATAAAAGATACATTACAATTAGATTTTATTTTTTATATTAGTTTTAATGTTTTAATTAATAGATATTTAAATGGATCTCTCGAAATATAATTATTTGGAAATAAATCTATAATATATATTATAAATTTATTATTGCTTTATTTTGTAAAATTTATCGCGTTGCAAATTTACTTGTTTATTTACTAATAAATATGCATGAAATATGAATAATTAAGCACGTTATATATATACAAATAATACGTACAGAAGCAATCAAACTCTAAGAGAAATAAAGCATTTATCTTGATATAGATATAATATTATTATAAATAAGTAAGCGTATTGTTATAAAAAAATAAGCAATGCTACGCATTGTCGCGTCGCGTATATATATATATATATATATATATATATATATATATGTATGTATGTCTGGAACGACGAGCATCGTGTTATCTCGTCTGGAGATGCTAACCATCGATTAGCCCGATACGTTATTAAAACAACTCCTCTTAAGGACGCTTCGGACAGTGGAAAGTTTCAATGATCAACAAACAATAATATATCGCAGAAATATTTTTTCCGAAATATAAATTTGGATCTCGAGATGAAATGTCCGTAATATTTTTACTTTGCCTTATAAAAACGTAAATTTTATCCATGAGTTGTTAAATTTTAATAATAATATATAAAAAGAATATACAAAGACGCGTATTTCAGAAATTTCTAGGAAAAAATTCTATTGAAAATAGAAATATGAATTGCGAAGATCGTGCTTTCGACAAAAAGTACCATTTAAATCAAACAATAATGCATATTCGCAAAGAGAGGATAATAAATCTAAGTTACTGCATAGAGAGAATTTTTTCTTAGAATTTACCCTGAAAAGCATGATAATCGTGGAACAATATGGTATGGAATTTTATAAGAGTTTAATTAATATTTACCATAATAAAAAATATTAATATCTACCATAATAAGATATAAAAAATATGTTCGATTAATTTCACTATATATAGTAAAATTTATTTGTAACATCTTATTGTGATAGATATTAATATTTTTATTGTGGTAAATATTAATCAGAAAATTCTTCCAATACCATATTGTCCCACGATGACCATGATTTTCAGGAAATGTACCTGTAAGAGAAAATTCTCTCTGTGCGCGAAATATTAAATATTGTTCATAGATGATATAATTCTTAGTATCTCCGGTAAAAGACGCGTATCGTAGTACATAATTATTTTTAATACAAGACAATGCAATTTTCCTCACGAAATGCTTTTCGACTTCGTAGGGGAAACTCAGTACGATGATCCCCAGGTGCAATTTCCTCGTCCTATTCCAGACGAAGTTATCAGGTAAGCTCATGACATTCGCGTTAGCCAGCATAAGCACGAATGCAAATTATTTTCTTTCGTAACATTGCGTGCAAAAAAATGCAATTATCAAACGATATAAATTTTATATAATATCGTTCTTTTCACATCTAACACAGATTAACACACGAAGTCTCTTTTGGGTAAATTTTTATACATATATAAAAAAAAGTTTGTTATAATCCTACGTGCTTACGCGTATTATCTTTGTTGTAATTCTCTTACTAATCCTTTTAATTTGTGAAACACCAATGCGACGACTTAGCGTTTACGAAGTTTACGTAAAGGAAGAGTCGGGCGCGGATTCGAAGAGCGGCGATGCACCAGGTGCATCGGGATTAGGACCCGTCACCAACCAGCAATTGCTCCAAGTAATTAATCGCTGCGAAAGTTTTATCAATGAGAACGATTTGCGATCATGTAAAATCACTTTCAAGGATGAATGCATGGACCTCGATGCAGCAATAGACTCCGAAGTGATCAATATCGACGGCACCGTCACGAAACTCCTCGGCAAGGATGCGTTAAGGTACAAAGTAAGTGCCAAAGTGAGGTATCTTAAATATTTGTCGAACTATTAGCGCGGGGCAAGTTGTTTGCCGAGAGCGAGTGTATATCGTTACAGCAGCAGTTTACATGAAATATTTCACCTGACGGGCGCGTCTCTTCGTTTATCTAGAGTTCCCCTCTTTCTTCTTACTTTGAAGAATTTCATTTGCATACGCTTTTTATAGTTTTATGTACCAAGGATTTGCCTATCTACATCGCGATGTACCATAATTATGGGAGTAAATATAAAACTATTGTTGGAAAGTCTGCATTTTTACGCGCGCGACATTCCTTGCGTTCTTATAGTTTTATGCGTGCAATTTAATCTTACAACATTTCTTAATCACAGTATTCTTTGTCGCGACTGTGATAAATTCCTCTCTCCGTTTCTCTTTCCTCTGTTTTTTTTTAGTATCTTATTTTTTATTATTAATCTTATTATTTTCATTAAAATTCGGATTTTCGGTCTTTTAGATTCTCGAACAGACGGTTAACACGCCAGATGAAAATGTAGTTGTATATTCACATCCTGTTGCCGAAGAACCTTCGTCCTCGACAACGCGACTTATCGATAAGGATGATCCGCGATCCAGGCTGCATTTTGTAAAATATCTAAAACGCGACGGAAAAACACTCAAAATCTGGGAATGCGGCATTTGTACGTATTTTAATATTTAAATATAATTAATATATAGAAATAATGACATATTTTTTAAATATGTGTGAAGAAATTAAAATGTTGAATTTGATATTTTTTTCGCGAGAAATATCATTTCGAATTCTCATTCGATTTCGCAGCGTAGCGAGTAATTACTTTTTAATGTTGTCACTGGAGACAGCTTGTTTTCGTTATAAGAAACTTTTATGTTTAATATTCGAATCAGGTTCAAAAGAGTTCCGTCACCAGTACACCTTGATGAGACACTTGCCGACCCATACCGACGAAAGAAACTTTAAATGCGAGGCTTGCGGCAAGGCTTTCCGCCAGTTGTCCACATTGAGTCAGCACAAGGCTATACACAGTGACGCTAGACCCTATGTATGCGAATTCTGCAAGAAAACGTTTAATAGGTCGGAAATGATTATTTTTACATCTTTTCGTATTTAAACGCTTGAAGCTTTACACAGCATACAGGCAATAAATTTGCAATATTTATCAAATTGATTTGTACTGGATGGTATATTTGACATTTTGAAGTAATTCGAATTACAGGGTATCTACGCTAATTTCTCATCGCAAAACTCATTCAGAACACAAACCGCACAAATGTCACGTGTGCGGTAAAGGATTTCATCAAAAGGGTATATCTAACATAAACGTATTAATTAGGCGATCTGTCATTTTCCGAAAAATTCAAAACAAATTTTTTCTGAAAGAATTTATATTTCATTACATCTACATTTTTCTTTTCTTTTTCTCCTAAATTTATGAATATTCCACGATGTTTTATTGCGCAAATTGATGGAAAACGCGTTCATCTATGAACTTGAAAAATTCGGCAATTAACATTAGTCTTTTCAGGCAATTTGCGTAATCACGTATTCACGCACACGAACGAGCGGCCATACAAGTGCGAGCTCTGCGGCAAGGGCTTCAATCAGATGTCAAATTTGGTCTGTCATAAGGTGAAAGCGCACGCACACGCCGACAAGATGCAATATTCATGCGGAGTCTGCGGAAAGGAGTTCCCGCGTAGATTCGCCTTACGATCGCACGAGGAGTACAAGCACGGTATAAAGTATCGGAGCACGAGCAACGTGCAATCTGCCGTGAACGAACCCAGTAGCGCAAAAAGGTATGTAAAGAGGTCACATGATGTTAGTCGCGATCTATAATGCACAACCAATGGTGCAATAAATGTTCAAACAATCTGAAAAATCGTTGAAATTCATCAGCCACTTTATACAAATATTCGCGAAACGCGAGAAAAATAAGGAATACATTTTCTTTTTTAAATAAAAATACGAAAATTATGAACTTTCATTGATATTTTCATTGAATACGAGAGAAGATCTTGTAAAAATCAATGAATTAGTTATAATTTTGATGGGGTAAATTTCTAATCGATTTTTCTTTTAATTTTAATTTATTCCTCACAGAGACTAGATAGACAATCAAAATTATATATTCAATTATTATTATTTTATGCAAAGTTGATTTAATTATAGATATTGCAGCGCGCGATATGTAATTATGCATTTTCAGCAAGAACGTTAGGATCATACAATTGTTCAATGGCGATCGAAATCAAACGAACGAAAGCAAAGAGAAGGATTATTTTGGTTCAGTTAGTATATATATTTAATTTATGATAAATATAATGAGAATTATGGATTGTGTAATTAGTTTTGGAATCCTGTTTCATGATAGTCGGATTTAATGGATAGCATTGTGATAGACAAAATTGAAACAAAAGCGATGGAGGTTGCGTTACTTCAAGGTCAGACTCCCTTTGCTCTTTATAGACCCGTTAAGGGTATACCAGTACTTGTTAAAGTTTTACCCACTGCAAGTAATAAGCACGTAAGTATCTATTTATAAACATTATTAAATATGCACATGAAAATTATATAATTAAAAATCATAAGATATATAACTCTTTTAGTTACACATAAAAAAAGTTAATAAATTTATATGAAAATTTTATAATAACGTTAATTTAAAAGTTTTTATTTCTTGTTAGTGTAGTTATTTTGTGTAGTATTTTGATATACTAATACATTTGATGAGAAACTCGACTTTTAGTTGACTTCGTAAGAGAAGTTTGTTATAAAGTTATATATCAAATATTATATAGTAGAGATAATCGATGTTTTGTGAATATACTTGTTTAATTCACTGTCAACGAAATGGGAATCGATAATTAATAATTAACAATTTCGAAGCATATTAATTAATATTATTTAATAACATTTAGTTATTTCAGAGAATTAGAGATATCGCTTATTTAATAATATAATGTACTGTTTACATATAGATTCTTACACCTGCGACTGCCGAAGATTTACGAATGGCGGGGAAGATAACTTCGAATCCTACTGAGACTTCAGACGCTGACGGCAACAAGGCTGTTCAGGTGAAAGTACCCGTTGTTGCCACGGTGATACAAAATATCGAATCTAATGGCAAATCCAGTTTCGTCATTGAGCCTCCCGGAGCGGAACAGGAGCAAGGTAAGCTCTTGTCAATTTTATAAAACAAAATGTTTTCGTCGAAGCGTTTCTCTTTATCTTCTCGTGTTATTGTTAGATGATCTAGTGACAGCTTTGGACTCGCAGTTTTCTCTCTCTGAACCTCATTCTGACGAAGCGGATCGACAAAATGGCACAAATTCAACTCCGTCAATGGACGAGTGTAACGAGTTGTTGGAGTTGGCTGCGCAAGGTGGAATACAATTCGTTCGCGCTACGGAGGACGGTCGTTACGAGGTAATATAGAAACGATTAGCACATTCAGGTATGAAACTGTGTTAGTGCTTGCACAGCGCTTAATATTCGATCATAGTAGCGTTTGGTGAGGAGGATGATATTTCTTGTTGAAGCTGGGAAACATTTTTTTTCCTCCACAATTTATAATCCAATTATCCCTGCGATGTATTTTCGTTTTTAAGATTATATATCTTGATGAACATGTATTTCAAATTCGATAATGATTAGAATATGAGTTGATCAGATCGAGAAGACAATGATTATGATATTGCGAGAATTTAACGTAAGAGAACATAAATTTCAAGATATAACGTCGTTCTTCGACATCTTTATCTCTGAAAAGGTGACGTACTTTTCCGCGCAAAACTGGCATTATAGCGTCGACGTCTTTTCGATCGACTTTTCGACCTACAGTATGCGCGACACATTCGGAGTATTCACGTCAGGTGCCTCCATTCCTTTACATAGATTTCTCTATTTAGAGAACTGTGTAGCGCTGTCGCGTTTCCAAAACAGGTTCGTTTTTATAGAAAATCGTTTTCGCATTGAAATTTTATCTTTCGCGCTTCTTCTAATTAGCTCCAAGAGTTCGATTAAACTCAATATCTATTGATAAAATCCGGATATGTTCTAAGAGTCCCAATTAAATTCTTCGTAATTCTCAAGCAAGAACTTTGAAGAGAGAGAGAAATTTTAATTAAAATTGTATTTTTCTTGATGATAAAATATCATCAATCTTACTTAACATTTAAATGTCTTGGAAATATAGTATAATTTTTGAAAAAATAACTTAAAATAAAATTCTAAAGTAATATATTATTTTTTAGAACTCTGTAAAAATTAATTATTGAAATTTTAAAATATAATAATAAATTTCTGTGCACGTGTCTCATAATTTGCATTATTGTAATAAATTATTCCGATCATGACGAAGCTTTAAGCAGTTCAATACACCGTTCACTGTTGGCTTCAGGTTATGACAAGCAGCGAGGCCCGTGACTTAATGGCGCAGAATTCCCACGACGTAACGATTCTTGACAGCGAACAGGCGGATGCCATCAATCTTGTGAATATACGCAATAACGGTGACGTCATCATCGGCGACAACGATAATCAGATCATGGTGCTGGAATCCGGCCAGAAATCTAGCAGTATGTCAATGGACGGTATCGAGATTCTCGAGGACAAAGACATTAGGATTCTCGAGGGTAAAAGCCTCGACGATCGTTTCGCGGATGGTATAACATTCCTTCCTCAGACCAAAATCGATGATCTCCTGCTGGGTCCCAAATCGCTGGTTATCGATAATGATAATGCTCTTGTCGAGCACGATGATGGTAGGTGAACTTTTGTCACAATGTCTCAATTTATAAAAATTCTTTTGTAATGATATCTCTGCCGCGTATTTATATCGTAAGATATAATGTATATAAGTTTTAGTAGCTACTTTGTAAAAAATATATAAAAATATATAAAATAATGCAATATATAATTTCCATTATTTTTAAAATCAATGTAATAAAATATATAATTTTAATGTATAAATTACGCTGTGTTACAACAACGTTAAAATATTCGGTTTAAAATAATGAGGTATGTTTAATTTTTTTTAATGTCGATTTTAGCTATGGTCATACCGTCAAGTCAGCAAGATTTAACGAGCATCTTGGGTCATTCTTCGAACTTATCTACTAGCTCGCAATCCTCATTATCATCTCTGTTAATGAAGAACCATCCACCATTGTCCTTGTTGAACGAGACATTCCCGTATCTGAAGGGCAGTCAAAGCTTCGCGGACGATCTAAATATTCTTGGCGTTTCCCCGGGGAAGATCATCACTTGGAATACGACCCGAAGATGAGATTGCCTTCAGTCTTCGACGACGATTGTGATACCGGTTTAATATCCTTCGGTCAATCGGACATGAAGATGCTTGACTCCGGAAATCAATGCATTAAGGTATAGTTGTTTAAAAATTATGCTTAAACAATTTTTGCTGATATCATTTTTTTCATCGTTTGATGAATTTTACAGTCTTTCAATGACAAGTTTGTTTGCCGCCTTCCAAGATGTTCCCTAGTCTAAATGAGGTGAAGATCTTAGGGCCGAAGAATCATAGTCACGAATTGATCGCTCCACATTATCAAGATAATAGACTCCTCAGTCCTTTCGAGCAGTTTCTTAAGACTACTACTATGCAAACGAGTGGTTGCGTATCTAATACCGCAGACGCGTTCGAAGGATGTAGGAAAGAAGTGAAAATACTCGGTAAAAAACTCGGTACTGGCATTATCACTTCGACCGAGGAAGGTGATATTGTCAAAGTTGTCGATGACAATTCTAAATTTGTAAGTATAATCATATATAGTTTTAATTATACAATTTAATTAATCAATATCTCCTTTCTTCTTTCTCTTATTATTAAGCACTATAATGTTGAATATTTATAATTTATAATTATATATATATATATATATATATATATATATATTTATAATTTATAATTATACGCATCGATTATTAGAAATAAAATTTCTTAAAAAATATTAATTAAGAGTTTGACGCGTACTTGATATACTTGGCACAGGAAACGAGCAATGCAATGGATCTTTGTGACAACGCCTTACAGCAGTGTACCATGTCACCGAGACGATTGCACCGGCAGTCGTCGATGGAGAGCGACGTCGCGGATAGCTTCTTGCTCCAAGTAAAAACCTTTGAGAGTAATTACACTAAAAGCGACAAAAAAGAGAACGTATCTCCGAACCTGCGCAGGCCGGCAGCCCCTGCTCGGATTTTCTGAATTTCGGCAATCGCTTCGGCGGAAAGGACCTGCTGTCACCCGACGGTCATCTCGATAGGAGTCAGAAAGACGATCGCGGAGATAATTTTATGCCTGGAGAAATGTTGGACCTAGATTGACGATGCGCGACGAAGGCCTCTGCAGTGGCCTCTTACTTCTGGGATTACTTGTTCTTTGTGTCGCTATCTCTTGCGAAGATATTCGTGCGTTACTTCGAATTCTTTCGATGTATACAAAGAGACCAGGTAATACGCGATAAAAATAATTGCATCGAAAAGAAATGCATATTGATATTTTTATAATTCTTTGTTTACAAAAGATTGCACTGATTTAAATGCGAAGTAAATTGTATCTAAATTATGCATTTATTTGCGAATTATTTTGCTGTTAAATAACAAGTAATACCATATAAAAATTGATAGGTTGCTTAATTTTTGGAAAATGTGCGATCTATTTGCAACAGATTTTGGAAAGTAATTTAAGGGAAAAAACTAATATATATAATAATTATGCATGTGGCAATATATTGTGAATACATGTTTTTTGAAATGTGCTTGTAAATCTCAAGGTATTCACACATAATCTCAGATATTTCAATCATCTCATTTATCTTTATATGAATTATGCCGTATTGCTCAATTTCTCTATATTTTCTCTATACGTAATATGATTGTATAAAAATCCAATCGAAATATTTTATATCCAGATTTGCATGTTTGAAGAATAAATATATATATATATAAGAATTTCTTGCTAGTTGTTTTCATTATTTTAGACAGCAATATATATATATATATGTATATATCTATTAGATAAGAAGAAAAATTATCGTAGCATTACTGTTTTTAACAGATACGTGGGATAGAGATACGAAAGACTGTGGTATTCCGATACGAAGGTTATTTAGATTTATTCGCGAATTCTCGACTCGGCAATATTTTCTCCGCGCGCACGTGCCAATACCAATAGGTGGAATGGTTAATACCGTCTGCCCTGGCATCCATCCTTGCTACTTGATAGTCAGCTCCCATTCGGAGAACCGCACTGTCTTATATAGTAACCTGTGCAAGCAATCTGCCCACAGTTCGCAAATTGTTGAATTTAGAAATGATGTGAAATATACGAATTAATTTCTTGTTACTCAATTCTTGCGCTTAAAAATATTTATAGACATACTGTACAATTTTAATTATTTTATATAAAATTTCCAAAATTACGCGTTGGACTATTTTCTTTAGATAAAATTTAATTAATATTTTCTTGTTCTTCTTTCATGTTATATTTTCTGTATCGTTAGATTTTCATAAATATTTCAAGAATTTAAATTCAAAAACAGTGATATGGATATTGGTAAGTCAAGGTATATCTATCGAGTGATATCTTATAGTCTGACTTAGCATTTATCTTCACTACTTGATAGTCAGCCCGTAGGAGCCTCTCTACATTTAGGTAACGCGGGAGGGACTTGTAATATATATTCTGTAAAAGCACAAGATCCAAATAAACCTAATAAATATTACATAAAAGAGGCAACGTTTCCCTTACTGACAAAGTAATGTAGACTTTTCTGATACCGACTACTTTCTCTCGAAGTGCTTCTTCCCCAGCGAATTCTTTGATCATTCTTTAAAATCATTTTTAATTTTTTAGATATATCTTTGTTCGACATATAATATATAAAAATTCAATATTTTAATTTAATTTTTGTACTGATTTATATAATCAAAAAACGAGAAAGAGAGAGAAATTGGGAAATAATAAATTAATAAAATTCTCAGACTTAAATCCAGCAGTGGTAAGCTGTAGCTTACGAACGCAACGCATGTGCCCGAGCAAACGTGTCGGAAAATTTACTTTTCTTCCGCAAAGCCAGCGGCAGCCCGTCGTCGTCGTCGTCGCAGCTCGCAAATACGCAAAAATTAAGTTGTAAAAGTCGCTCCGAATCGCTCGCGCTTTCCAGCCACGTCTGCCGCGAGGACGAGCGAATCCCACGGAAATTCCATTCGTTCTTTCCCCCTGCCGTGCCTCTCCTCTCCTCCCCCCTGCTTCTAGAAACCCCTCGGGGGAAATTCGCGCCTTTTCTCCGCTGCTTTGCATCGAATTATTTAAAAATGCACCCGACGTCCCGAGAAACATCTACTTAACTCGAAGGCGTCAGGACGTTCTTAGCGCGCTTGGAGTACCGTGAGAACAATGGCGTTAACGACGACTCGTTGTCGGTCTACGGCATCTACAAAAGACGAAGAATTCAAAATCCTGAAAAGTCAGTCGGGATGTTTAGAACCGATGTTTCTTACGATACTGAGGAATTTTCGTCATAGGATCGACATAGCTTACTTAGTGTAGTTCTTGAGCCAAGAAATTCCTCGCTTAATTTACTTGATAAAACTCTATTATCCGGAAAGGGTATGTTATATAAAGATTAATCGGATATTATTGATAAATTTATCTATATGACAAACATTTTATCGCATCAATAAGATCGGCTGATTCCCACATCGGCAAAAGTAATTATGGCTCGTTAAACTAATCGCATTTTCGTATATAAAGAGGCGATGAGGACGACTGGGAACGAGCATTTTATTTGCTTTACAACGTAATTGCGAACAGAAAGTATTCCTATTGCTAGATGATTCAGGTGCATTATAGTTCTGCGGTATACCTATAAGAACGCTCGTCGTTTTTCCACGACCGAGATTTCTCCCACGGGTATAACTTTGGTGAGCGAAACGGCTCCGCGGATTATCTGAGGAAGTGCGAAGAGGCTTTTAACTCGGTATAATTTATTTAAAAGCCGAGACCGGAGGGGCGAGACGGCCGTGAAAGGGGAATCTCCGAAGAAACAGCCTTAATTAGCACGGACTTTCTTACCACCGGCAGATTCCTCCTTAATTTTCGCAGATGAAAACCGCGCGATCCACTTCCCTGCGCTTTTTCTCTTCTTCGACCTTCCCTTTTTCTTCCTCCTTCTTTCCCCTTTACGAATTTTGCTTCGCTCTTCTACCGAGACATCGTATACCTTTATTCTACTCAAACGCGCTTGATAATTTGCAATAGAGAAAAGTCCTTTCGATATTGATGAAATTCTGCAATTAAAGGAAGAGCGATACTCGATCGAACGTGAGGTAGATATAGTTTAAGTGTAATATGATTTTGCCTGATTTCGCGAATTTTGCATAAAACCTGTCCCACATTTATCCCGCCATGTAATATACAGAATCGATTTTAGCTCGGTGAAGATTTGATGGAAATTCTAATTAGGAAAATATTCAACACTGGGAAGAGATAAAAGAAATTCTCGTTCGAGTTAAAAATTCGAGAGACAAAAGTGGTAAAACCTGCTTTGCGATTAATGTCTAGATTTTACTTTGAGAGAAATTTCATTTCACTCTATCACTATATACACAAAAATATATATTATATTAAAAATTAATAGACAAGCTTCTGTGCGTAGGCAGTCCTTTCTTGTCGCAATTGTAAGCGATTTCCATTATGTATAGAGCAAATAAAATTTCACGAATTATACTACTTACTGTTGTCACTCGAATCCACTGATGCTATTTTTACACGAACAGAGTATATCCACGGAATGAATTGAAAAATTGTGCTCGCTGCAAAATTGCTAAACGCGACGTCCGCGCGCACGTCTGTGCGACGACAGCTATTCTTCCTAACAAAGTCAATTGACGGCGCTGCCGTAATGTGCCGCCTACTTTGGAAAATTTACTTTGAATTTCGTTCCCTTTTACGAGCTCTTCCTTTCTACTTTCCACGAGACATTACTTCGTTCCCGCACCCGCGTGCTTGGTGCCCTCGCGAATTACCTCGTCAGGAATTCAACCCTCATACACAGCCATTTCGCAAATTCGATCTCCCTCGGTGCGTCTCTGCTCTCTGTCGACAAAGAGAAGGGGAAAGAGAGAAAGCAAGTCAAGCCAGTGATGTTACATTAAATTAAACCGACTCACAGTATATAAAACCGCGTATATGCTATCTGCCGCTATAACGTTAAGACTTGATACGATTAAGAAGAGATTTGTATGCTATAAGAATAGAAGATGTATGAAGAAAAAATTACTTTTCTGAATATTTGTATATATTTATATTTTCAAACAAAATTATTACTTGATATTTCAGAGATATTTATATCTGATAAAATCTTTAATATTTTCAGAAAAATAATATTCTTTGTTTTTTGAATTTTTAATAATTTATTTTATTTGTTTGCTAATTTATTCAATATAATAAAGATCTCTTGGCGAAGAATATCGCCAATATAGTTAAAATTGAAGTGGTAGAGTTATACTGCGCGTTTATTATTAGATTAGTTGCATTGCATTGTACTATTAAAGATTGTTAAAGAGAATTGTATAAAGATGAAAGAAGGTAACGAGCCCGTTCAGTCAAGCAGAAATTTTCCCCAGATACTGCTTTTTGTTTTAAAAAACGCGAATCTGACCTAACCCAATCCGATTTGTCTACTCGAAAGACTACCGCGCAGACATAAGGCTTGTTGGCTACAATAGAATAAAAGGAACATGAAATGTTGAGAGATGAAGGCTAAAATACAGAAAGAAAGAGAGAGAGGGGATGGAGTGAACCGGAAATGAAGCTGGTACCTACTACGACAAATGTTCCTCGTCATTGGCGATACTCGGAGTATCATTTATTGGATTTGATAATTTTCCACTCCAAAGATCGATAAAAATAAATATGAAATAAAATAGCACGCGACTGTTTTTTACTATATTTTTATTGGAAAACTAATATTGTTGCAATTGCCGTAAATACGCGTGAATGATTGCATGTAAAAATTGAAAATATGTTTCGTTAAAAATAACAATTTTTTTTATAAGGATATAATAATCTCTCTTTTAATATTCATTGTTTGCTAATTTCGCTGACATTTAATTATACGATGAAATAAATTCAGACTCAGCGATTTCTCGATCATCATACTTCTCATTTAATATTCGTACTTTGGTCGTCGTGGAATTCAGATAGAATTTATCAAACGAATGTTGACGTTTCTTCATTGGCCTCACTTTAGCTGACCACGGACATTTCTTATTAATTACTCACAATCGGATAAAACCATAGAATATGATTCTTCCCAATGACAATAGCAAATGCAATTTTTTTTTTTCGAATATTCAATGCTGTATTTTTACATATGTGTATGTCGTAAAAATTAAAAAATTTTTGTTAACTATTATAAATGTCAGTTTTGTTCCTATAAATATATAAATCAAATATCACTAATTATCCAAGTAACATTAGAGAAATTATTATAGCTTGTAAGATTGCAATAAAACTTGTAATTTTTTTCTTATTGCTTCGATTTGAAATAATAAATGAATAAATCGCGTGAATTACATATTTTATAAAAACATTTATAATGAATATAACATCTCTTAACTAAATGCTAAAAAAGCAATTAAGTATGTAAAATCAATTTCCTCTTGCTTTATTTATTATATATTATTAATTGCAATATAATAATGTATCTAGCAGATACGAAGTATTTCACTTTTTATAATATTATAAAAAAAAAAGTAAATGGTGGGGTAAAAATATTGCGTGCGATATTTCCATTTCCTTTTATCCGACATTTTTACGAA